CCGGGAAGGCCCGGCTGGGGCGCCAGGGGCGGGGTCGTGGGCGAGGCTGCAAGGAGCCCCGCGCTGCTCCCGCACGCTGTTGTGCTGGAGAGCCCTTGGGGTCCCGCCGCGCCCTAGGGCTCCCCGGATAAGAGGGGCTCGGGGGATGAGAGCACTAGAGTTCAGCTGTGGGGTCCGTGCGAGCAAGGGCCACGTCCGCAGGGGGAACTCCCAGCTGGGAGCCCGGCTTCCAGCTGGGGACTCCCCCAGCTCCTCGAGGCCCAGGGGAGCTCGCGCCCTAGACCCCGGAGGTGCGCGAGCCCCCTGGGGCCCTCCGCTCTTTATGACCACTACTCCGGGTTAATTCCCTCCCCGACCTGCCCGGGGCAGCCTGCCCACCCCGCCGGTTTCCAGCTGGCCTGCAGTGATGAGCCAGCAGGAGGTTTGGAGTTTTCTGGCTGGGACCCCAAAGCTTCCTGCAGGGCGCGGTTTCCGAAATCCCGCCTGGAGGCCCCTTTCGCAAGGTTCCTCCTGTTGCACCCTCACCCAGTGCTCCTTCCAATTTAGCTCCGCTGCCAAATTGCCCCCCACCCCAGGTTGACTGGCCCAAGGCCACATCCTCAGCAGCTGGAGCGATTTCCTGCTTAATCTCGCCTTTCCTCAACTCCTGCACTCGGCAGGGAACTCCTTCCATCCTCCACACCCCCTTTTAAAGACAGGGGGGTGGCTAAGCAAGGGGTTAAGACGCAACCTATGAAGCTGTTGGCAGCCACTGCAGCATGAGTTTGATCCCCGGCCAGGGAGCAACCCACATGGCGAGGCAGACCTCTCCTGTCTCCCCTGCTGCTCCCCTCTGCAGTGTATTTCAGTCTGCCTGTTCTGTTCCCCACTCTGTCTCTGGTGAATACACACACACACAAACACACACACACTCCACGCCTCTGGCCTGTACCCCAGCTCTTGTATGCATAAATAAATAAATCTTAAAAAAAAAAAAAAAAGAGTAGCCACTTTCTGTTGTTCTAAGCAACTATGTTGTGTTCTACTTTTCTTGAATGAGATCAGTTTCTCCAAAGGGTCACCTAGGCTTTCCGCAGCGTGCCTAGAGTAGGCCTCTCTAGTCACCTGGGTATGGAGGAGGCCCTTTGAGCCTGGGGAGGTCTATTACTATCACTTAAAGAATGAAGATTATTTCAAGTTAAGAGCACTGGAGGCTTTAAGAACTTTTTGTCCTTTGCCCTTTTTCCTAATCGAGAAACAATCACTATTCTATTGAGAAGAATGTAGTTCGGAGGGTCTCATCCAGGTGTAGGTTTATCAGTGAACATGATCTCTCTATCTGAGAATTTCATCTTCACTCTCAAGAGTGAAGATGAGGTCACCCCATTCTAATTTGTCATGCAAAGTCTCCCCCACACACACACACACCCCACCTTGTTAGAGACCTTAACAACTTGGTCTCTAAACTCAGGATAAATATACCTGAAACTCTAAATGCTAATCCACCTGGTGCTGTTTTGATTATAGTCAAGCTAGAGAAGAACCGACAGGGGTTGGAGGGTGTGTGAGAGGATTCACCAGAGACAGAGAGGAGCACAACAGGCAGTAAATCTACTGAAATACACTGCTGAGGGGAGCAGCGGGCGAGACAGCAGAGGTCTACAGTGCCATGTGGGTCAGCTCCCTGACGGGGGATTGAACTTGTGCTGCAGTGACTGGATAGCTTCTTAGTGCTGAGGCTTAACCCCTTGTGTCCACCAGGGAGGCCCTATTCTGTTGGGTTTTTTTTTTTTTTTAAGATTTATTTATTTATGCATACAAGAGCCGGGGTACAGGTTAGGGATACGGTGGGTGAGAGGATTCACCAGAGACAGAGTAGGGTACAGAACAGGCAGACTAACTGAAATACACTGCTGAGGGGAGCAGCAGGCGAGTCAGGAGAGGTCTGCTGCGCCATGTGGGTTGCTCCCTGAACGGCCAGGGATCGAACTCTTGCTGCAAAGTCTGCTAATTGCTTCATAGTTGGTGCTTAACCCCTTGCACCACCAGGGAGGCCCCCTATTCTGTTTTTTTTTTTTTTTTTTTTTTTTATTTTAATTTTATTTTTAAAGATTTATTTAATTTATTTATTTATACAAGCACTGGGTACAGTCAGAAGCTTGGGAGGGCGAGAGAATTCACCAGAGCCAGAGCGGGAAGCAGAGCAGGCAGAAGGACCGAAGTACAGTGCTGAGGGGAGCAGCGGGCGGCAGGAGAGGTCTGCGCGCCATGTGGGACCCTCCTCCGGTGGCCGGGGAGCAGCCGGGGATTGAACCGGCGCCGCAGAGGCCGCGGGCAGCTTCGCAACCCAGCGCTCAACCGCTGTGCCACGGGGGAGGCCCCCTATTCTGTTTTTTCATGAACTTCAAATGCTCTTTCATCAATTTTACTATCCCCAAGGCATGACAAACCTCACCTTGACCCCTCCGGAGATATTTGCCAATGCCACGGTGCCATGGCAGTGAAACGGGACGCCATGGTGACAGACCACCTCCCTCGATGTCTGTGAGGCCACTCAGACAAACGAGGGTCAACACTAGGGCATAACACTATCTGGTACCTGCTCCACCCTCTGTGCCATGACCTGCAGCTCTGCAACCTTTGGGGCAGCCCCGCCTTCCAACCTAGAATTCCCTCTCCCTTCCTCCTCTGCAAGTTCTACCTGCCTTTCAAGGGCAACTTAAAGGCTCCTTTTCTGAGAAGTACCCTAGCCCAGTTCTCTTCCCTTTAGCCCAGCCAGGGCAGAGGCCTCAGGTCCATGTGTTAGAATCCCAACTTGGAAGGATGAAGCCAGTTCACGTGTAACGTGACCACAAAAATATGTAATGATTGGTGGTTAGTAACTAAATTTGTGTTGACTCCTATTTTGCATTTTTTTAAAGATTTATTTATTTATGCATACAACAGCTGGGGTATAGGCCAGAGACTGGGGGGGGGGGGCATGTTGAGAGGATTCACCAGAGACAGAGTGGGGAACAGAACAGGCAGACTGACTGAAATACCCTGCTGAGGGGAGCAGTGGGTGAGACAGGAGAGGTCTGCCTCGCCACGTGGGTTGCTCCCTGACCGGCCAGGGATCCAACTCGTGCTGCAGAGGCTGCGGTTTGATTCATAGTGTGGTGCTTAACCCCTTGCGCCACCAGGGAGGCCGCTATTTTGCATTTTTGAACCCAGTATTTGTTTGCCTATCTGTCCAGATGGGTCTTGGTGGGGGGGTGCTTCGCCATTGCCTCACCGCTTCCAGCCGCACCCAGTCTGGCGCGGCAGGCGCGTCTCCAGCGCCACCTGGCGGCGGCCGGGAGCTCCGCCCGCAGCACAGCCCAAGGCAGGAGAGGGCGCGCGAGTCCCGCGAGCCCTGGGCGGGGTCCTCCCGCTCCAACCGCTAGGAAGGACCGGGCTGTATCTTTTGTCTTGCTAGTCGAGGGCGGATACCCTAAAGAGGGCAGACTGGAGCGAGGCTATGCGGGTGCCGTTTAAACTGCATTCTCAGTTCAGCCACCCCGAGGTGCAGGAGCCAGAGGGTGATCGTGCCCCGAATTAGGTGGACAGCAAGCTTCATTCTCGGGGTCCTGAGTCCACGTGACACGGGGGGCACAGAGGCTCATGCTTACGACACCCGCGTCGCAGTTCCGGCCCATTCGGTGCTCAGATCCCATTCAAGCTTGCGGCAGCCCGGAGGGGCCATCACCGTCCTTGACCGCCCTCCCTCACCCGACCCTCCGCCCCACCCCGTCCACACGCACAGAAGCCCAGTCCGTCACCTGGGAGTTGATGATCGCCCTTAAAGGCCTCACTTTTATTTAAAAGGGAGTTGGTCCTACTTGCCCCCCTGGGTCACTCCGTCCAGCCGGGGCCCGAGATTTAAAACAAAGCCGGCCCCACCCCACCCCAGACCTGACCGGGGAGAAACCCCGCCCCGCCCCCCAGGACTGACTTCCAGCTCCCTCCCTCCTTCCTAGATCTTCAGGCTGCATTTACACACACGCGTGCGCACACTTCTCGCAGGAGCCCACAGAGGCCCCGAGGGGTGCGGTGGAGGGCCCCAGGGTAGGTGCACCCCGCGGTCCGCCAGTTTGAGGGTGGAGCCTCCGCACAAGCAGCACCCCCTCCCGAGCCCGGGCGGGGCGTCCGGCGCTGCCCGGCTCCCAGGAATCCGCTGAGTCACTTCCGAGGCCGCAGCTGCGACCGCAGCAGCGAGAACAGTAAACGTCATTCAATTCACTACGGGGCGGCCCGGCGCTCACCTGGGAGACCAGCCGCCGCGGGGTCTGAACAACTCTACGTGGCCAACGAGGCCAGCATCATTCACGTCCTGCCGTTCTTGCCCCCACCCTCGTGGCCAAGCAGGCTCCACCTCAGGGTCTTTGCAGGAGCTGTACACCCACAGCCTGGCACACTCTGCCCCTGGCACCTGCCCTGGCAGCTGCACACTCTCCCCGTGATGACTGCCAAGGCCTCTGCTCCAGCAGGGACGTGTCAGGGGAGAGCGAGGGGGCACTTAGAAGGGGCGACGGCGACCTGGGCGCTCCACGTGCTGCGGGATGCAAGCGCTCGTGGGGTGCGCCCCTCTGCGGCCGTGTGCGGGCTGCCCGTGGACAGCGTGGAGACAGGCGCGCGACGGGTGCACCCCGCGAATTTCCCGCCTGCCCAGATACCGGCCTACCCAGCTCCAAGCCCACCGTTTGCTGCAGGGCTGGGAGAGGTTCCTGCTGGGCATGTAGACTACAATTCCCAGAATCGCTGGGATTCCGCCGCCGCCGGAATTCCTGCTCCTCTCCGCCAATGGGAGTCACCAGGGCGCTTAACCTTTTGGCTGCCGCTGTCCCAGGGGGAGGCCTTTGCATCTGGTATTTAGGAACCCCTTCTCAGAATTATGCTTTAAAAACACATTTTAAGTCTTTACGTTCTGTTTTTATTGCATCCTGTATTTTTAAAATTGTAGTAAAGTACTTGTAACATAAACCTTGCCCTCCCCCCTCCCCCCCAGGTGAGCGCACAAACACCGACCCCACTGCTATGAATTACGCCTTCGATTTTTCCGCATTCGGGAAAGTCGCAGGGGTCGGCACATCCCCAGTGCAATGGGTGGGCCTCACCCTGGGAAAACCACCTTGGTGCTCATGGGGTCTTGCCTGCCAGGTCTGATCTTAACCCATTTTGAACAGTACAGTGTAGTAGTGTTAAGTAAATTGTTGTGAAACAGCACTCCAGAACTTATTGATTTGCAAATCGAAACTCTACACCCATTAGATTTCCCTTTTCACCAGCTTCCTGGCTCTTGTAACTGTTTCCATGAGTTGATCACTTTAGGTATCTGGTGTAAGTGGGAGCATACGCCATTGTCTTTTTGCGACCAGCTGATTTCACTTAGATGATGTCCTCAGGGTTCGTCCATGTTGTAACAGGTGTCAGAATTTCTTTCCTTTTGAAGATTGGCTATATCCCATTGTCTGAAGGGACAATATTTTGTTTATCTATTCATCTGTCAACAGACATTTGGTCAGAGTTAATGCCTTTAAACACATAAAATAAAACACATGGAGTTATAAGGACTAATGATAAAGATGACAGTTGTCAACAATTTGAAAGAACAAATGTATAATAAGGTAATCAATATATTTCTTTTTTTTTTTAATAAATAACATAGCTCCAGCCTAGAAGCCAGCAGGTTTCTGTTCAGCAGACTTGAGTTTTCTGATTGCATAGTTCGAGTAAGACTTTAGTACATGACCCATAGACTTCATTCCAAAGAACATCACAATCAACTAACCTCCATTCCTGCAATTCCTGCAGGTCAGAACTTTCTGGAAAGAGTTGTGTAATTCACCCACCTGATCTCCTGCTGCTCAGCCCTTGTCACTGGGAGCGCATCGGCCCTCCCCAGATTGGAAGCCCATCTCAGCTTCACCCACTCTCTGTCCATGGAAGACAGTTACACGCCACCCAGGAACAATGGAGCTGCCTCACTGAAATATTTTCATAGGTATGCAGTCACCCGTGATAAATCACTTCCTTGGGATTCTTCCTCCCAGTGGTGCAGGGGAAGCCTGGCACCTCTACTTCACTGGATGGCGGCCACTATGGGCTACAACTTCACAGGCCAAGTCAACAGACCCACTGTTGGTGCCTCTTCCCTCTGCATCAGCTAACATTTTACATTCTGACTCTACAGGCTGTGGCCTCATATCTCATCAATCTGGCCCAATGCACTGTCCCAGCCCACCCTGACAGCCCATCTCCGCTTAGAGCCCCTGGCTTTGTTTTGTTGGTGGAAATTAGCAACATTTGTCTTTCTTTTAGAGTATAAATTATTTCCTACAGGTTCAACTTTGACCTCTGAACCCCCAGGGTTTGCTGAAATCTGATCCTAGTTCAGGAGTGGGGTGGAGTCTGCAAGGAGTTCCCTTCAGGTGAGGGTGTACAGGATCTTCTGCCAGGGAGTCCGAGATTTCTTAGATACAGGAGGGCCCGCTTCTGCCAGCTGGGGATGCTGCAAACACCCAGATTCTTAGTCTTATCTGCATCTACCAGGTGTCCAGATGCAGGGTGTCCAGCTCCGTTGTGTGATTATGTGCATGCCAGGTGTATGTGCCTGTGTGCCCGCTATGTTTGCTGCCTCATCTGGAAAAGGGGGGAGCAATGCCCTTTTCCAGCAGGGTCCCTGAAGAGGCTGCAACTGGACCATTAAGTGGGTGGGTGGCAGCTGGGCCCTGAGGCAGATGAGGATGCTCTATTTGCCCATTGCTTCCTGTCCAGCAAGGCCTGGGATGAAGGAGAGCTTAGAAAGGGGTGCTATGGATGGGGGTGCCTTGGTGGGCTGGGTGGCACTAGGGAAATGCAGCCCATCCTTAATGCACCTGGTGGGCTGTCTCAGAATGTCCCCACTAGAGGGCATCCCAGCAGAGGCTCTTCCCCCAGATCCTGTCTTCAGTCCTGTCTCACTGCACCCTTACCTCTCAGGGCCTGGCTCTCTTTTTTATTCCCATGGCTCCCCCTTCACTGGAGCCACTCTACACCCCCTTCCAAGGGCTCTGCTGTCCCCCAGCCATGCATCCTGTCAATTTTTAAAAAAATTTATTTATGAATATAAGAACTGGGGTACAGGGCCTCCCTGGTGGCGCAAGGGGTTAAGACGCAACCTATGAAGCTGTCTGCAGCCTCTGCAGCACCAGTTTGATCCCCAGCTGGCCAGGGAGCTACCCACATGGTGCAATAGACTTCTCCTGACCCGCCCACTGCTCCCCTCAGCAGTGTACTTCAGTCAATCTGCCTGTTCTGCTCCCCACTCTGTCTCTAGTGAATCCTCTCACCACCCCCACACACACCTCTGGCCTGTATCCCGCTCTTGTATGCATAAATAAATGAACCTTTAAAAAAAAGAACTGGGGTACAGGCTGGTGAGAGGAGTCACCAGAGACAGAGTGGGGAACAGCATAGGCAGATTGACTGAAATACACTGCTGAGGGGAGCAGCGGGCAAGACAAGAGAGGTCTGCTGCGCCATGTGGGTCACCTCCCTGGCTGGGGATTGAACTCATGTTGCAGTAACTGAAACTTAACCCCTTGTGCCACCAGGGAGGCCCATATCCGTCAATTTTTCTTGCTGGCGCCTACCCTCACCCTGCCCTCAGCTGGGTTGCCTTGACCTTTGTCACTTTACCTTGCTACATTTGGGGATCTTAATTCCCCATGGGAGGCTTTCTCCAGTGACCACCTACAGTGACCACCAACAGGCACTCAGAAAAGTGGGAGGTAGGGCCTCCCTGGTGGCACAAGGGGTTAGGTACCGCACTATGAAGCTGTCTGCAGCCTCTACAGCATGAATTCGCTCCCCGGCCAGCCAGGGAGCTACCCACATGGCGCAGCAGACCTCTCCTGACTCGCGGGCTGCTCCCCTCAGCAGTGTATTTCGGTCAGTCTGTCTGTTCTGTTCCCCACTCTGTCTCTGGTGAATTCTCTCACCCTCCACACCTCTGGCCTGTCCCCCACCTCTTGTATGCATAAATAAATAAATCTTTAAAAAAAAAAAAGAAAGAAAGAAAGAAAAGTGGATGGTAGAGCAGCCTGCTGGCCTTCTGCTTTCTCTTCCCCTTTCCTTCCCCTTCCCAGATGCCCTGTCTTAACCTCACACCCTCCTCCCTTCCTGCTGGTTCCTGTTGCCCACAGCCCTCTAATGCTCCCTGGGTTGTGCTCCTTGGTGCTCTGGAGCCGGGCTCCAGGCCTGACCAGCTGGCAGCCACTATCACAGTGTGTCCTCACCACCCAAAGAGGCTGCCTGAGCATCCGGCCACCTGGAACCAGAAGCCAGCTGACCTGCCGGCCTGTGTCCTGCTGGGTGAACTGGCCCTGAGCCTCACCCAGAGTGACCCAGGCCCAGTCAGGACAGGACAGGAAGACGGGCCTGGGGTTGGCTGGCCCCATTTGTTAGAAACACAAGCTTTCCCAGCCAGGTCAGGCCAGGCCATTGGCCTAATGGAGCTGTGGGCTGAAGGCCTTCCCACCACTGTCCCTCAGCCAGCAATGTCTCGTCCCAGGGAAACTGAGGAAGAGGAGCCCCCCACACAGACTCCTTTTTTGGCCACTTACTGTATGTATGCCTGGGGTGCTCAGCAGTTTGCAAGCACTGCTCATATAATTTTTCTGATAAGTGTGCCCTAAAGGGATTATTGATGGCCCCAACGTACAAAAGAAGAGACTGAGTGTCAAAGAGGTAACCACCAGGTCCCTCGCCCGCCCTTGTGCTTTTTTCCCTCCCTTTAGAAAAGTGCGTAGCTTTAAAACGCATAGAGAAGAGTACAGAGAGGAATATGGTGTACCCCCAGCCCAAGGAATTATTTTCCATAATTTATTCAGTTTTTTCTCGAAATATAGAATGTTAAAATCAGTAGATGCTTCCATGCTTCCACCTCCGTCCTGGAAGTCGAGGTGACACCTTCCTTCCAGTGCAGGTGTCCCCAAGCAATACATGCAAGTGTCCCCCATGAGAGCTTTTTTTTTTTTAAACACTTCTGTTTGGGGGATCATTTACTTTCAGTGGAGGTTACCATCCTAGAGGTACACCTTGAACTTGTGTACCACACTAGTTGTGGAAACAGTTCCATCCCAGAAAGGCTCGTGCGCCCACACCGCCACCTGTCCCCTCCATATTACCTGCCCCCACCATCCTGACTGCTGTCACGGTGAATTAAGTTTGCAGGTAAATGGAACCAGAACCAAACAGCACAGCTTGTTTTTCCTGGGTGTTCCTGAGATTCACCCCCTGATTGGGAGCTAACTAGGGCACTGCTAGGGTTCCATCCTCTGCGCGGTATTCCATCCTAAATTCTTTTTACCTAGCCAAGCTCCTACCTAGGTATTCGGGTGCTTTCAGCCCGGGTGTTCTTACATTTTACAGACTGGGCAAGGCTGCAGTGCACGTTTCTCCCAAGGGCACCTGGCTGAGATTTCCCTGAGCAGCCACCTGGGCCTCCCTCGCCGACCTCTGCAGCAGGTCACCTTCCCAAGCGCGGGCAGCCGGTGGCCCGGGGCTTAGGCCCTCGCCGCCCGCGCCGGCGCCGAGCGGTCCGGCAGCTCCGGGGTTAAAGAGCCGCGGGCCGACTCCGGGGGCGGGGGCCTCCGAGGCAAGTCCCCAGCCCGGGAACACCCCCACACCCTCCGTCCGCCTCTCCCAGCAGGCCCCAGCAGGCCCCCACCCCGGGGCCCAGCGGGGCGCCAGCACGGGGGGGGGGCGGGGGGCGGGGGTTCGGAGGAGGCATTTCGAAAGAACCTCGGACCTGCTCCCCGGGTCCCCCTCCGGGAAAACGGGAAGTTCAGGGAGGAAGTGGCGGCGCTGCGCGCGGCCGGCGGCCCGTGGGCCGGATGACTAAGTTTGGCTGTGAGACCTGCCACCTTTGCCTTTTATGGCGGCCTCGTGGGCAGCGGACGTGGCCAGCTGAGGGGCGGTCAGGCTGCGAGCAGGGGCTTGAGGGGGCGACTAGCTTAACCCCGCCCGGCTCCCCAGTATCCTCCCCCACCCCAAACTGGCCAGTTCCATCCAGCCCGCCCCCCCCTCAGTTTATGGAGGGGGAAACTGAGGCCCGGAGAAGGGTGGAGATCTGCCAAGGTCACATAGCTCGGCGGGGTGGAGCCAGATGACACCCAAAGGGCTG